GGCTCGGCCCGGCCCCGTTCCGCTTGGCACGGCACGGCACGGCTCGGTACGGCTCCGGCAGCTCCCGAGCCATTCAAACAAGTGGCTCCGGCAGCACTTGGGAGCCGGGGCTGGGGAGAGGGCACAGCGCGGCTCCCTGCCCCGGAGGCGCCGGGGCCCTTCACGCTGCCTCTTTTCTCTGGCGCTCGCTCTTTATTTGACGATGAAATAATGTTGACATGTCTTGAATTATTAAGTATTCCCTGGATTTTATTAGCACATGATGCCTAAATGCTGCCTGTATCTGCTGGGGTCTTAACCAGAGAGGAGCGAAGGAGAGAGGCTGAGAGACAGAGCGAGGGAGAGGAGAGAGAGGGGTTTTTGACAGCTGTATTTGTGCTGATAAGCGAAGGCACAAGGAGACGATCGACTAGTGAGACAAGAGGGAAGCGGCGGCTCGGAGCTGCTGAGAGGGGCTGCGCTTCCCTCCCGAGACGGCTCGGCCCTCCCGGCGCCGTGCTGGGGCTTGGGGGGGACCCGAGCCCCCTCCCAGCGCCTGGCCGGGCTCTCGGCCGGTGCCCGTGCCGGGGGGCAGCTCGCTGGCTGGGCACGCCGGCCGCGCGGGGCAGATGCCGATTGAGATCGTGTGTAAAATCAAATTTGCCGAGGAGGATGAGAAGCAGAAGGAGAAAGAAGAAGGGGACAAGGAGAGCCTGATCGAGGAGCCCGCCCGGCCCCGCTCCCGGGACCTGGCCGCCTTCGCCAGCGCCAGCACGCTGCACGGCCTGGGACACATCTGCCGGTCGGGGCGGCTGGGTGTGCGCCAGACCCTCTGGGCGTTCGCCTTCCTGGCCTCGCTCGCCTTCTTCCTCTATCAGGCGGCCAAGTCAGCGCTGCTCTACCTGGAGCACCCCCACGTCATGGCCCTGGACGAGGAGGCCATCCGCGAGATGGTCTTCCCCGCCATCACCATCTGCAACATCAACCGCTACCGCCACTCGGCGCTCACCGACGCTGACATCTTCCACTTGGCCAACATGACCGGGCTGCCCCCCAAGGACCGGGACGGCCACAAGGCCACAGACCTGCTCTACCCCGACCCTGACATGGCTGACATCGTCAACCGCACCGGCCACCAGCTTGACGACATGCTCAAGAGCTGCAACTTCAGCGGCGAGAACTGCTCATCCCGCGATTTCACTGTGGTGAGTGCACGCCTGGCTCAGCTTCCCTGGGGGCCCCAGCCAGCATGGGGGGCACCCACCTGGCCGTGCCTTGCCAGAGCAGGGCTCCTGGCTTGCTCCGGCTGCTGAAGTTTGCATCTCTCTCTGTTTGAGTTTCCCTCCAAGTTTCACACGGAGAGAGAGAGAGGATCCTGCATGGGAACTCTTGGTAGGGCTCTGCACCGCAGAACCGGGCTGCCAGCAGGTCCGTGCCGGAGAGGCTCGCAGGCGGGAGCCAGAGCTGGGGGGAAGCAGGGTTCAGCAGTCCCCAGGGTGGGTGCGCAGTGGGCAGGGGGAAAGCCGTGGTGTAGAGCCCTGCTCCAGCCTGGGCTTCCCCCTAGGTTGAAGTGCTCTGTCACAGGGTGCTTTGCACAGCAAGAGTGGCTGGAGGAACAGGCAGAGACCCCTCTGCACGCATGGGAGCCTTCCTGCGTTTGGGGGGGTTGGTGCTGGGATGTGTGTGAATCTGGAGGCTGCCAGCATTGCACACGCACATGTGTGCACGCACACATGCCGAGTGGCTCCACTCCGGAGGCACGGCTACAGCTGGGCGAGCGGGGGGCTGCCGGGGGCTGCCCGCTCGCTGCCCGGGGCTTGCCGTCAGGGCCTCCTCGCCAGCAGCTCCCTGCCTGCCCAGGCAGCGAGCTCCCGGCCGGGTGCCTCCAGCGTGCAGCTCTTGCTAATATTGAGCCTGGAATCACAAATCCTCGCTGTGGTTTGGGAAAATAAATGTGCTGAACGGGCGGAATACCTGATGGGACCCTTTTCAGACCGTAATGACTCTGGAAATGAGCCGCCTCTCTCCCACGGCTGCCAGGGGCTACTGCTCGGCTGGCTTGATGCGCTCCAGGAGCAGTGCTGCCAGCCGGAGCCTGCTCCGCGCTGGGGAGGGGGATGCGATGCCGTGGGCTGTGCGGGATGCTGGGGGGGGTAGAGAAGGCTCCGTGGGGCTAGAAATGGCTGATGCAGCATGTCCTGTTTCACTTCGTGCCCATCAATACAAAGCCTGCTCGCCGCGCAGGGTGATGCTGTCCCTGGGAAAGCATCGTTTCAGGGCGGGGGGGGGCCTGCCCTGTGGGGGGGGCTGGCATGGGGCACTGCAATGGAGTGGGAAGGAGCAGGGGGCAGTGGGGGGGCAACCCCACTCCTCCCGGGGTTTTGCTGGGCTTTGTGCCTGCTTTACGCCAGCTGCCTGAGTTTGCTGGGAAGAAGTGCGGTTCAGCAGGGCTGGGAGCAGGGAGCTTTGGTGCTGGACAGTCCTGCACGTGGCTCAGCCACGCTGGCTCCAGCCCCGGGGTCCTCCTGGGGGAGCCTGCACAGCTTTGGCTTGTGGGGGAGGCAGCAAGCCCAGCCTTGTGCCGGGCAGTGGCACGGCATGGCAATGGGATTTGACGTGTGCTGAGCTGCGCTGCGAGGCTGGCAGGGTAGAGCTCAGGCGAATGGGGCTGGGTACAAGCTTCCCGCAGCGTGGACATGGTGTGTGGTGTGCACCGTGCTGCGTGGCAGCAGAGGGTGACTGCCAGGACAGTCATCGGGACCCGGTTTCTCAGCAGGTGGCCGTGCAGGACTAGCTGACCTGCCTGCCTCAGCTGCTTACGGGTCTGCCCTGGGGATGCTCAGGCAGCTGGGCTCTGGTGTGCCGGCACCCTGCACTGGAGCAGTCTTCAGGCGTGAGGATGGTTAGTGCCAGCTGACCCCCGGCTCACGGCCCAAAGAAGGGGAGCCCAAGACTCCTGCAGCCTGCACCCCCCCCGTCCGCAGCTCAGCCCTCCAGCCTGGCCTTTGAGGCATCAGGGGCTGTCAGCAGAAAGGGGCATCCCCGTCACCTCTCACTTGCATGGAGCAAAGGGTTGAACCTGGGACAGGAGAGGCTGCAGGACATGGGTGTGGGGAGGGATGGGGGAAGATGTGACCTCTCTCTGTCACATACCATGTCCCAAAGCCTTGCCAGGCAGCAGTGGGACTTGTCGAGGCATCACACTGTTTGCAGCTGGAGCCTCCTGCTCCCGTTCCCCGAGCCGAATCGGTCCCTCGTGCCTCCTGGGAATGACTGAAACACAGAGTGAGCTGCTTGGCAGGCAGGGTGAGTCCCAGCTGTGATGTGTGGGCCTGGGCGCTCCCGTGCCTTCCAGCTGTGGGCCCGACGCAGGGGCACCCGGGCTGCCCTGCACCCAGCCATCATGCAGCAGGGAGCTCCAGGCTTCATCGGTCCCAGTCCTGGGTCCCCATGTGGGCCTTTATGTTCAGAAAGCTCTGGTACCCCCGCTGCAGTGGGTGGATACGTGAGTCACAGTATGTCCCAGCACTGATGGAGGGCTCCCAGACTGCTGCACATCCCAGTGGGTCAAATGGCCTGGGGTCCCAGAGCTCCCAGCCCATGGCGAGCAGCCCCTGGAGCAGAGGTCGCGTCCCCAGGGATGCCATAGAAGGGAAGGAGTTTTTCCTGCAGCCGTGCTTGCAGGAGTGCTGGAGTCCTTCCTTCCCTCTGGGCACGAGGTGGATTTCCTCCAGATGCTGGAAGTTTTACAGCACGAGGGTGGCCAAGCTGTGGGGTCGCCGGCGGCTGGCTGCCTGTTCGGGAGCGGGAGCAGGAGCAGCGCCGAAACTGGAGCGTGTCCCCTCGCGCTGCCGCTTGTAGCCTGTGCTCACATGATAAATAACCCGTGCGGATCCTTTAAGTAAGAGCCATGAGTGGTAAATGATCTTCCCCTATTTAACGTCACAAATCCACATTCTTTATGGGATAGCAAATTAAGAAACTGTGGGGGAAAAAAAAAAAATCCCCAGCGTAAGCATCTTCCATGTAATAAAGCCCGGCTGGGCTGTAAATCTCCCCAGGCGGCAGGGACAGTCCTGAGCCGCAGCAAGGCTCCCCTGCAGCCCGGCTGACAAATGTGCCCCCTGCGTCGGCTGCTGGAGGGCCATGCCAGAGCCCCGGCGAAGCCTCTTCTGACCCCCCCGATTCTTGCCATGCTCCACAGCCCCCCAGTCCTCGCTCTGCCCGGGGGTGAGGGGCTGGGCTGCCCCTGCTGCTGCCCGGTGCCCACCGGCACGCTGCCCCATGCCTCGGCGAGGGCGGCGGGTGCGGAGCCCTGCCGGCTGGGCGAGCGCAGCTGCGGTACCAAGGGCGCGAAGCGTGCGGTGCCGGCACGGGAATAGTGGGTTTTACGTGCTGTTGAGCGGGAGGTTGGGAAGCGACCCCACGGGGCTGGGGCTCAGCTGCGGCAGGTGGCTCATGCCAGCCCTTGCCTCCACGCCTGGCACCCCGGTATGGCCACAGCCCGAGGCCGGTGCCGGCCACGTCACGGGGCACTGTGGGAAAGGAGAGCCCTCCCAGCGGTGCTTTAGGGACAGGGGGGACAGGCAGCTGGGGTGTGCAGGGGTCTGGGGGCTAAGGCAGGCAGTGGGTGGTGATGATCCCCCACCCTGGCTGGCAGCAGCATCCCGCCTGCTCGCTGGCAGCGGCTGTGGCAGAAGGCTCCGTTCGTGGCCGGGCGAGAGCCCGGTGCCTTTCTCAAAACCGCGTCCCCTGTCAAAAGCCTTTTGTTTGTGATGTGTGGCTGCCAAAGCCAGTCCTGCCAGGGCTGGAGGTTGGGGGGGGAATGGGGAGGTTGCTGACAGCTGGCAGCGCCTCTCGGAGATGGCACCGGCCCCGGCTCTCGAGTCAGGGCCTCCCGGCTACCCGGGACGTGCGTGGTGCGGGGCATCTCCCCAGCACCCCATGCAGACCCTGGAGGGGGAAGCCCCTGTGCTGAGACAGGGGGAGCATCCTCAGCTGCATCCCACATGCACCCCGAGAGGTCCTGGCTGGGGGGGTGGGCAGAGGGCAGCAGGCTGTCGCCCCTGCCTCCTCCCAGCAAGGCTCTGCCGCCGTTGCCCCTGCAACCTGCACCGCTCCCGACGCAGGGACTCTGTCTGACCTTTCCGCCAGAACCATACTTAATAAATGTCACATTTTCAGCCTATTTTTATGCTCTATCAGAGCTGGACTCGTTGCTCCTCACCTGCCCTGCCCCGCCTGATGCCTGCTCAGCCCCTGGTGTTCGCCCACCCCATTTCGCCTCTCCCCCTCTGCAGGGCTGAGTGTGACCCGGGGCGCGGGGGGCTTGCCGGGGGCCCCTCAGCAGCTCACTGGGCTCCAGGCACTGCAGGACCTGCCCTGTCTGGGGCACAGAGGGGCTCTGGGGCCAGGCAGTGCCATACGGGTCCCAACACAGTGTCACCCCCACTGGAGGGTGGCATGGCTGCGGATGTGGTAGGTGTCATGCCATGCATGGCAGGAGGGACTGGCTGGGCTGGGGCTGGTGGTGTCAGTGCCTAGGAGAGCCTGGAACATCCCTCGCCGATCCTATGCCTGTGAGCTGCTCGACTGAGCCCAGCTGTGCCCATCTGGGTCACTGCACTCCACTCACTGGATCCATGTCCTGCAGCCCCAGCCCAGCACCTGAGCCATCTCCCCGGGAGCTCGCAGCCCATCCGGAGTTCCCCATCCTCACAGCCTGGCCACCGTGCTTGCGCATCCCCAGGTCTGTGTCCCAGCTGGTGCAGGCACGCCACAGGTTGGTTGCGCTCCTGTCCGGAGCGGCAGCGGCAAGCAGCTCCAGTGCTGTTACACATGAGCCACCCGGGCACAGCTCGAGGCGCCGCTTGTGCCAGAAAACGGGGGACTTTAATGCAATTCGTTGCCATTTAATTTTACACAATTCCTGCTGCTTAATCCACTGAGAAATGCTAATTTATACAATTCACGTCTAAAAATAAATGTCAGTCCAGCAGCTCCCAACAGCGGGTAGTTGCTCCCACCAGCCCCCACCGGAGCCTTGTGCAGGGACCCCAGCCCAGAGCCCACCCTGCCCCTGGCCAGCCAGGCTGCTGCTCCTCGCCCGGTGGTGCCCAGGCTGCAGCAGCATGTAGGTAAATGTGGGGGTAATGAGGATTTGGGGTACCATGGTGGGACAGCGAGGGGTTGGCTGCACCTAGGG